GAATCCACAAAGCCCCTGGGTATTTTAACACAATAAACTAACAAGCACAAAGATTAGAATGTGGTCTCTGCCCATTGGACATTTGTAAATTTAACAGATGAGCCCAAAAAAAGGTTTAAAAAACAAAGAGTAATAAGCAGGGGAAGCAACACCACAGTGACAACAGCCATCCCCAGCTACGTGATGAACCCAGATGAGCTGACGAAGGACCATGCTGGCAATCTCTACACACACACACACACACACACACACACACACACACACACACCCCGGAAGTGACCCGGAGCTCTCACCTGAGGCACAAGTGACGGGCACACTTCACCAGGATACCCATGCAGTGCACAGCCACGATGCCAATCACCAGCAGGCTGAGAGGACCCAACTAGGGACCAAGGAGGCAGACAAAAGAAAAGCAGACAGAATTAGGAGAGAGCCCAAAAGAGACTGAATTCGCAGATGACAAAACACTACTAAGGCACTTCTGGGGACAGCTTTGGCTGGCAGGAGAGAGAGAGATGATCCAGTAGACTGAATCTCTGTGTGTCCTCATCCTGGTCCAGACAGTTAGTTAATCTTGTGGACAGTGGATCCACAGGGCAGAAGTTGCTGGCAGGCTCTGGGATGCAGAGGGGGAAGGTTATCCTGAGGGTGATCAGCAAGGTCAGCACTTGGATGGCCAGTATCTCTGAAACCACCGTGCTGGGCAAGCAGACTATGTGTGGTGAGTCAAAGGGAAGGCAAGGCTGTTAACTAAAGTCACTGACCCAGGCTCAGAGCCTAGGAAGGGCCTGGCACCCAGAGAGCCCAAATGCACAGCTTTTGATACATGAATGTCTAAAACCCTTACCAAGATGCCTGCATTTCTCACTGCCAGTGGCAGCCCCAGAAGTCCGGTGCCAATGTTGCCTTTTAGCAGGTGGATCAAGGTCTGGAACCATCTACAGTAGGAAGGCCAAGTGGGAAGCGTTAGTTACAATGCAGGTCAATGCTTATCCACATGGCACCAGCATGAAGAGCCTATGTACAGTATCTTATCTGATTTCCCAAACAATCTTGTGATGTTTTATTTCACAGATGATGGACCGACTTCTCCAAGAAGCAGGCCTCCCAGGGAAAGCATTCCCTGAGCCCTCCTCTCTTAGAAGCCAGTCCAGAGGGATAATGGAGGCTCTCTCTAGGCATTCCATCTTTTCCAGCTGTATTCAGGGCTGGATTTGACTACTGAGTGAACCACCCTGATGACTCCCAAAATGCCACAGAAGATGACAAGATGTAACTATGAAGGGTAGAACTCAGTGTGGGAAAATGGGGGTATCAAAAAGTAAAGTCCAAGCTGGGTGTGCTCATGACAACATTTAATCCTAGCACCTAGAAGGCAGAGTCAGGTGGGTCTTCAAACTTTAGCCTGATCCCCACAGCCAGTTCTAGGCCAGCCAGGACTATATAGCGGATCTCTGTCTTAAAAACAAAACAAAACAACAACAACAAAAACAAACAACAAAAAAACAAACAAAAAACTAAATAAAATAAAGTCCAATCCCTCTACAATACCATAAGGGACTCAGCATTCCTACTAGGCCAGGCATGGTTTCACATGCCTTTAATCTCAGCACTTGGGAGGCAGAGGCAGGAGAATCTCTGTGAGTTCAAGGCCAGCCTGGTCTACAGAGCAAGTTCTGGGACAGCCAGGACTAAACAGAGAGAACCTGTCTCAAAACAACAAAAAGTTCCTATTGGACTTTGTGTTTGAAGAAATAGAAACCAGCTGCTACTGTGGGCCCAGGACTAGAGGAGTCCTCTTTAATGGGTCCCTGGGTTTGCCTGAAGGGCAGGAGTCCCTCTAAATTTGTACAGACTGCCTCATTGTTTTATGCCTTATGTAAAGCCTCTCATGTGTTCTCATTCACTTTTTTTCACTCAACAAAACTCCTGTGGATGTGGATGAGTCAGATGTGAAAGCCAGCCTCTAGAGATAGGTAATATCTCAAGGGAAACAAGAGACGAAGGGGTGAGGTGATAGAACCAGAGAGAATTGAGGCAGGAGAGTGGAGGGCAGAGACCTGAGGCCAGGAGAAGTGTGTGAGTGTGAGTGTTTGGGGGTCACTGCCACAGCTGAGGGGAGGCTGCAGACCCTGCTGAGAAACAAGGATCACATGAGGTGAGCCAGGCGTCTCCCCTTCTATATAGAAGACAGACTGCACAGGAGTGTGTCGTTCGTGGCCTCTCTTTGTCTTTTGTTCCCCATGACAGCGTAGGAAACAGCTCAGGTGAGGTGCCTTCAATCACTCAAGACTCGGCCCTGGACATAAAAATCCTTTTGCACAAACAGCCCTCAAGATCCCTCAAAACTGGCACTTGCACACAAACCTGCATTTGGCAGAAATCAAAAGCCAACAGCACTTGCTGCCCACAAAGGCCATCCCCTCAAGTCTACCAGAAAGGTCATCTGATCTACCTGCTGTTTTGGCATCTACAAGATGGAACATCAAGAAATGGCCCTTGACTCCCAGCAGAGATGTGCCCCCTGTGCTCTGGGGCCACGGCCCAGAGTCCTGCAAAGGTCCAACAGCATTATCAGCAGCCAGTAGCCAGGAGATAATGGGCCTATTAAACCTCTATCTTGGCAAACAAATGTTTAACCCACTTGGGTGCAAAGGTAAGTCTGTACCACACCCTCCCTCCACCATGAAGTCTTCCCAAAATGCCACGGTGCTGGACTTCCTGGCCTCAACTTGGCTGTCTGACACTTTGCATGGCCATTCACTTTCATTCTGGGAATTCTTATCTCACCTGAACAGTGAAGTAGGGGGACCAGGGAAGGTGATCCTGAAGTCCCCTCAGTTCAGAAACATTAAGATTCTAGAGCAAGGGTCAAAATTGCCCAAGATGATGTCCCCTCAACACCACGTGGGCATCATAGTTAGTATTGCCTCCAAGGCTGTGACATTCTAGCCACAGGGTGACTTAGCTTCTGAAGACAGAAGGGAGAAACCTACTAGGTCCCTCTAGTTTTCATTTGTGCTGTCAGTAGCTTTTAGGCTTTCTTTTTTTTTTATATAATTCCAGGTCCTCTTTTATTCTCTGATGAATTGAGGACCCCTGATATATTTGCTTATGTAGGGTCTATCTGCAGATACCTTATATTACTAAAGCTCAAATTTTAAAATGTATAATTTAAAATAATAGTAAGTCTAATACATACTAATACTTTAATGATTAAACTTAAATATGGGAATTAATTGTTTAGTTTATGTGTATGGGTGTTTTGTCTGCATGTGTGTCATGAACCACATAAGTGTAGTGCCCTCACAAGCCAGAAGGGAGTGTCGGATCTCCTGGGACGGGAGTTATGGACAGTTGAGCCACCATGTGGGGGCTGAGTATCAATCTCAGGTCCCCTGGAGCAGTAGCAACCATCTAGATCTCCAACCACTCATTTTTAAAAAATTATTTATGTGTATGTGTGTGAGCAAACATGCATACTCACACACACGCACACGAGTGAGACTGTGCTCAAAGGCCAAAAGAAGGTATGAGATCCCCTAAAGCTGGAGTTATAGGTAGTTGTGAGCTGCCCAATGTGGGTGCTGGGACCAGAACTCAGGTCCTCTGTAAGGGTGACAAATACTCTTAACTACTGAGCCTGCGCTCCAGCACCATTTCTCCCATCACTTTTAAAATATCTCCTAAATGTCTCATCTAACAGAAGACAGCTGGGTGAAAGTCTATGAGAAAGTGTGCTCTCCCTAGACATGTAGCTGGAAAAAGAAGGAACACTGTATCCGCCTCTTCAACTGTGGCAATTCTTCTGTGACATTACTCCAAAATGAAATGCATGGGCTCTTTATCAGTTAGCTGCAATGTGGACTCTGAACCTCCCATGATCCCTTACAGCTGTCTTCAGGGACCCTTACCCACAATTCCTTAACATATGTGGAGGTTCCAAATTCTAACCTCTTTATTTATATCAGCTTTGACCTCATGGGAAAGCATTTGTCAGTACCCCTGGGAAAGCATTTGTAAGAGCACAGTGCTGGACACAAGATGTTCTGCTTGTTTGTTTTGTTTTATTTTTCTAATTTTGCTTGAAAGCTCAAATTGCATGTGAGCCACAAAAATATTGTTGATAGGTTTTCTTGAGTTAATGGGTTCGTTTCTTTCCTTTTCAAAGGAAATGCTAAGTCCTAGGGTCTGCAAAACATAGTTAGCTGGTTGTTCTTTCTAGTAAAATAAACCTTTTCTATTAAAAAAAAAAAAGAAAACTCCAGTTAGTTCAGTTGGCAACTGCCAATATTCACACTTTGGCATCTGGTATTTTTTACTACTAAAAGACTCATGCTAAGGGTTGCAATTTAATAAGAATTAATAATTTCACTATCTAATCAAGGACCTTTTTGGTTATTGGAGACAGGGCCTCATGGATCCCACCCAAGCTGACCTTGAACTGTGTAGTCCAGAATGACCTTGAACTTCCGATCCTCTGGCCTCCAACTCCCAAGTGCCACCACACTGAGTTTGTGTGTTACTGGGAATGAGACCCAGGGCATAGTGCATGCTAGGCAAGCACTCTGCCACCTGAGCTACAGCCCCAGCCTTTGTCAAGGATAATCTTAAGTGAAGCTGGCCTCCTTCTACTCACACGTGACTAGGACAATGTACATGTGTGGGGGTGACGGGCAGGCAGCTGCAAACACACGCTGATCCTGCATCCTCACACACATGTGAACAGGATGAAAGGCAAATGACATCTTAATGCTTTTAGGAAGAGAAACAGTCTTGGGCCCCCAAAAGCTCTGCAGACCATATTTGGCAAATGGCTAGTCC